CCCAAACAAACCGTCTAAGCAGGGGTCTCGCAGCAAGACCTTATACAACTACATATATATATATATACACACACGCATCGATTTATGTTTATACTTCTACTTATATTTATGGTTTCGTTCGAAAATGTGTGTGTATGTATATATATATATATATGTATGTGTAGGTGTGCGTATATATATATATATACATACATGTGTGTTCAGGTTATAATTTTACGATATGACATTGTACTGAATTTTAAAATCTCATGGTCATGTAAGATTCCCCAACACCCCGTTCTACTTATCCTGGTCCCCATCCTCCAGGAGTCCAGGACCCTCTTAGTGATAAGCCTCCCCAAAGAATCTAAGGTCCCCTTGGTTATCTTATAATATGCGGGCCTACATAATTACCTATACCATTTGGGGGGGGGGTCCTTACTATAACCATAGTACAATATGCCCCAACACTGTATCCTAATTATTACGGCCCGTACATTATTCATAGCTTACTGCTTAAAGGGCTCGGGGTGTAGCACGTATAGAGGGCCAAGACTGGGTTCTTGTAGAGGGCTCCTGGTTTGGGGTACCAGCGCATGGTGTGGGGACAGGGTCGGACATCTTGAAAAATGTAGGGGCCTTTATAATTGGAATAGGGTTTTTTGGGGTTCCTTATTACAGTTACAGTAGGGTTTCGAGGTATTTATAGTATACTATAACTATTTGAGGAAATGGGAAGCTTACATGACGATGTATCCATGCTAGTTTGTCTTCAGGTGGGTTTAGTGGGTTTAGTGGTTGAGCATCCGTTTTTTGGGTTCAGGGTTTGGGTTGCCGGTTTGGAGGCTAGGGCAAAGAGTACGGTGCTGAGGGTTTCGGGCTCAATGTTTCGGGTTTGAGGGTTTAGGGTTAGTCTACTTTGGGTCAATGTCTTTAAACAGGCCAAACAGTCTGTTCTGAACTAGACACGAAACGTTCAATCCTTGAAACGCCGAAACCTGAGCTGAACCGCTAGCTGTATTCCTGCTAAACCCTAAACCCTAAACCCTAAGCTTTTGAGGTAAAGCTTGGGCCCTTGAACTCCAAACCCGAAGCCCCCACGAAAAGCCCCCACTTGGAGGCCCAGGGGACTTAGTACGTAGGTTGTAAGTAGAGTTATAAGTACCCTAAGTGAGTTGCCCTAATTAGAACCCTAAACCCTAAACCCTAAACCCTAATCCCTAAACCCTAAACCCTAAACCCTAACCGAATTACTAAGTCCCCAACGGCCTCCAAGCCGGCCTTTGAAACCGGGCTGAGACCCGAACTTACCGCCCCAAGCCTATGCAGTTCCCCCGGTTTCCTTCTCATACCCCCAAGGGTCCAAAGGACCCAATAATCAGGTACTTAGGTTTCGGATAGTAGTGATGTAGGTTGCTATTTGGGAGAGTATACGTATGATTATTTGGTACTTGGACCCTCAGGGATACTTCTGAGCAACCCCAACAAAATCTTATTCTCATTACCCCAAACCCTAAACCCAAAACCCCTAAAACCTTAAAACCCCAGAACCCTAAAACACCAAAACCTTGAAACCTCAAAACCGTGATACCACAAAACTCAAGAGCTGCGAGGATGACGAAGAAGTTTAAGGCCGAACTTCCCTTTCCAGCGCGCATTCGGAGTTTGGGGCTTAGGGTTTAGGGTTGAAAGTGTTTTTGTTTAACGAAGGCTGTTAAGGTTTCGTTTTCAGTGGTATATGGGGGATTAACGGTTTTTGCTGTAGGGGTTCTGTTCGGGGCTTATGGTTGTTGGTTTGGTGCCTTTGCAGCTGCTGGGGGGCTGCAGCGCGTTGGGCTTTTTTTTTGCAGTTCAGGGCGTTGGGGTTCGAGAAGCTTTTGGGTCCATGCGCGTCATATTGGTCTTGACCCTAAACCCTCAACCCTAAACCCTAAACCCTAACCCCAAAACCCAAACCCTAAAAATAAGTCTAGGGTTTCGACGGAGGTTCAGGTCTTCCAGCCGTAGGTCCTGTAGGTTTTCGGGCTCTATGCACGGCTTTGGGGTTCCTCGGTGCTTCGGTGTTTGGCGGTTTAGGGATGTCAGTCGAGAAATGACTGGCAATTAGCAACTGTGTGACTCTATAGTCCCCATGTAATCATTCGTAGTATATCCCTATTCTACTTATCACGGTAATATAAAGCGAATATAGAGGCCTCAATAATTACCCAAATTATTTTGGGGTTTCTTATCATAGATATTCTATAAAGGACCCCGAGACCCTTGTTCTAATTATTAAGGCCCCTAATTATGTTCAGGGCATGAGTTATAGGGTTGCGAGCTCAGTGTTTAGGCTTTAGGATGAACGCCCAAGTTTTATATCGATGGAAGGCACGGGTTTCCGGTGCTTCTAGACCAAGCCGCGTATCATGATACGGCTGATGATATAAATCCTGCATTACCTTCAGGACCCTGAACTCTGGGAATGATAGTATAACCCTAAACCCTAAACCGGTATATTCCTTATTATTATGGGTGATGCAGGGTTTATATCATCAACCGTATTTCATGGAGGGGGGCAGGGCTTGGTGGATTTGAGGTTCTGGGAGATGCAGCCCATTGGTTCGGGTTCGGGGCAGGCTGAAATTAAAGTAATGTAGGGGCCGTAACCCCAAGGGTCCCAAGGACCCAATAATCAGGCACTTAGGTTTCGGATAGTGGTTATGTAGGTTACTATTTGGGAGAGTATTTGATTATTAGGTATTTGGACCCTTAGGGTAATAATTACCTAATACTACTTTGAGGGCTCCTTATTATAATTATAGTATAATATACCCCAAAACTTGCGTTGATAAAATCATTGCAACACTCAGTTAGGACTTGTAGCTCAAAGAAAGCTAGATGATTGAATGATGCACAAGGCATCTTTCATCTTGTTCGCACCAGACTTCGGTCCGCAACCACCCCAAAACCCTTTTCTAGTTATTAAGGCCCCGATATTAGGATTTGGGTCTTGCGAACAGCAACAGCAGTTACAAGACGAATCTGCCTTCATGCAGGCGAGAGGTTTGTCCACGACTGACAAGTTTCCATGGTGCAGGTCATGTGGCACTTGGTCAATGGGCTCCTGAACTCTTTGCAACTGATGATATCCGTCTTTATGCTGCTGATTCTGTCCATTTACATCTTCGCTTGCTTCCCAGCTGATACTAGAGGATTTAGAGGCTTCGGGGTTTAGGGGTTGAGGGGGGAGGGGCTGGACCCCATCTGTGGGGTTTTATGTTTTTCAAAGGGCTAGTTTCTCAAGATTCTACTTCATCGGGGCATCTTCAGGCTGAATGCCGATTTAAGAAATTATCAAAGCCCTACTCTTGGTCGGTTTCAGAGCCAGTTCCCTTGACTCCATACCCATGCCCTCAAGCCTAAACCTGTACCCTGCTTTATCCAACAGTGATGTGTCAGGAGTCACAGGAGAGCAGAAGCATTCCTAAAAATCTTCTGAAACCCCGAAGCCCTAAAGCCTGAAACCCTGAAACCCCAAACCCCTGAACCCCTCAACCCTAAGCCCTCGAGCCCCATAACGAGACCCCCCTGCCTCCCAACCAAACGGCGCGACTTGGATCAGAGTGCGGAGCAGAGGGTCCCAGATCGCGGGTTAGGCGGGGGGTTGAGGCCGAGGGCGTAGGATTGGGGGTTTAGGATTACCTATCCCGAAGGGTCTATGTACCCAAATAGTATGTAATTTGGCCTTAAAGTAGCCCCTATATAGGTACTTTGGGGCCAAAGTATATACTATTTGGGTACATGGACCCTTAGAGTATAGTCTCCATTGTCACGCCTGTTTGGGGCTACTTTTTAGGATCCTCCATATAAAACTGGTTAACCCAAGGATACAGGAATTACAATGGAGACTCTAGGTAGGGTTCGGGACACAAGTACGATTGCGAGGCCCTACCCTAAACCCTAATCCCTGAACCCTCAACCCTAAATACGTTACCTGTCTCCATCGTAGTTCCTTTTTTTGGTTTAACCCAGTAGATATTAAGGATTTTATCAGGCATCCCCAAAAAAGAACTGCAACGGAGACTACCCTAAACCCTAAACCCTAAACCCTATAGGTAGATTCTCAAGTTCAGGCGTGAGGCTGTCGGGATCAGAGTCAGAGAGTTGAGATTTTTTGGGATTACGCCTTGACGAAGTTCGGCTCTTGGAGCCTGGTAGTTCTGTTTGAGACCGTTCTGCAACCTTTGAGTTTAGAGTTTAGGGGTTTAAGATTTAGGGGTTTAGGGTTTAAGGTTTAGGGTTTAGTGGTTTAGGG